TAATATTAAGATAATATAAAGATATAAAATGATAAATATACATGATAGTTATCTGTGTACTGTGCAAGATTTAAACTATTTTGTTATGGATGAAAACATATACAATTGTTCTTCTTTTTCCATTGTTTTATATAAAACACAGCAAGAAAGAACAAATAAAATCCTAATATATTATCCTATACAGTCTGAAATTAATTGCACCAGGCATTTAAGTAGAATAAAACCGAATTAAGATGGAGCAGACAGCCAATGGCTGGAACTGGCTCGTCTGATTGGTTGTTTTGGTGGTGGGTGACAGCCTGCTGAAGGACCCTGTGCAAATGCCACCACAAACATAAAGGCATTAAGTGTCACACTGCCAGGCTCACAGACACATCTCCTCTTCTGTTTTCACGATTTTTCTTTTTCTTTCTCTGCCTCGAATCTCGAATGTCCAGCGCGGCACGCTTTTTCCGAAGTTTCAGCCTCCGATGCTGACAGGCCGCTGTTGAGAACGGCACAGATGACTGCAGAGAGACACACGTGTGTAGCTTGGCAGGCCACCGCTCGTGAGAGCTGCTTTTGCGAGCGCCTGAGAGGCTGTCTTTGCAAGCTCGGCTGAATGAAACACCTCAACCTCAACCTCACACTAATGAAAAGAAACTCTTATTTCCTTCCATAGTTTTATGTTCAAGCATATTTGAATCACGTCTGGCAGTTGTCAGACGAAGTGGCCTGTGTTTACTACCGAACAAGCTAAAAAATAACATGTGAAACAGTATATGATGATAAAAATTACAGCGCTGCAACACTTTGAAAGTGTCAAGAGGACCTTTCGAGTCCATTGTGAATGCAGAAATTGCTAAAAATACACGCCTTGCCACACGGCACTGTGCTACGGACAGCTCCGGCGACAGAGACGTCGGGGTTATGAATGTTATGTGAAGCTGGGGCATAGAGGCCCCTCTGTCCCCCCTCTCACTGGAGAACCTTACAGAATGACTGGGCTATGCTGCCCCACTGACAAAGATAAATTACATTTGCTGGAAAATATTTCAGCATTTTTCCCCTCCCCTACCCTCTCGACTCGTCTCCCATTTTTTATTTTATTATATTTTTTTTGTAAGATTTTCTTTTCGTTGCTTTTTTGGCCCTCGTCCACCAGTGTGCCATGGGTCCCTCTGCTGTGATGCGAGACGCACACACTGTGCCACTGTGCTTTATCATGAAATGCACCCTCCGTCTCCAGTGTTTAAGCACGGAGTCGGCAAACGCATATCCAGATGGTTCAAGAAAAGTTGGATGCCATCAAGGCTTAGAAACTTGACCGGATGTATTTATTTATTTATTTTGCATTACAATCATAAAGTGTGAAATCTCTGAACTGGTTCTTAAACTGCATATTTTTAAATCGCCAACTCTAACAGAAGTGCAACATCCAATAAAACACATATACACTCTGAGCGACGCCTCGTGGTACCATCACAGAGAGGCTCAAAATCACTTTCCAGAACATTCTCATTCACCACTCCTGGCTGGTGGAACGATCTTCCCACCCCTATCCGGAATGCTGAATCCCTGACAATTTTCAAGCGACAGCTGAAAACTCATCTCTTTCGAAGCTACTTGACTTCATCATAAAAAAAAAAAAAATTTATTTATTCCTTCTCTTTCTAGCTTGTACTTATTTGAACAATGTCTAAGAACTTGGTATTACAACCACTTCTTGTGTCTGTTTGCCTCTCTTAAGAAGAATCGCTTTATGTATCCCCCAATTGTAAGTCGCTTTGGATAAAAGCGTCTGCTAAATGACTAAATGTAAATGTAAATGTAAATGTATACGAAATGCAGGACTGCATCAAATATGCATGACTAGATTAAATGAGCTCTTGAATGTAGGGATGAACATTTTCCTAAACTGTTTTAACTGTTCTATGGACTCTTATCTAGCTTAAAATGTGCTCTATTTGCCTAGGATACTGACCAAAGTGGAAGTGCTTGGATATTTAAGGAGAGGAAGGCCAGAAGAGGCTCCCTGCTGGACCACCCAAAGCTGAAGAGGAGTTACATGAAACAGGAGTCACCTTTACTCATCTGATTTTTGTTTTTTGGAACAGCACTTCTTTCATGTTCGCAGCGTGATATGTTGCACACATTCATTCGGCGTACACACGCACACTGACTTGTCTGTCATCGCAGCCTCCTTGTAGCAGCCTCTACCAGCTTTCTATCATCTGCTCGTGTACAAATACACAGCAAAATATAGTTTTTCTCATATCACGCAAATGCACATTCACAACTCTCAGAACTATTTCCGCCCACATACAAGCAGACTTCTACAGCATACATAATAATTCATGTGTGTTCGGTACATACCACGTAAGCCCAAAGCAGATCTTTAGAACAGAGAAAGCTCAGCTGAAAAATTAAATTTTATGCAGAAATATTCTTTTCACAATATAATTAAACATCAAAGGCAGGACTATTCCTCTGTGATTGAGCAGCACTCTGGCGAATCAACTCCATACACCACCTTCCACTTTACAGCGAGAAAGAAAGTTGCAGAGCATCACAGCTAATTACAAAATAGAGACAGAAGCAAAGTTAAATTCATTATGCAAAAACCAGGACAAACTCGTGTGCGCTGGGTACGCTCATCTAATGCCAAACATCATAACCTCTTTGAGGGTAAAAATGACTTATCTGAAGCTGTTTTATTTGCTTTATTAAACTATTTTTAGCCTAGTAAATGAAGCTGAGAGAGTATGGAAAAAACGATATGAGAAAATGTTTGACTTCATTGACTCAAAATTAACTGTGCTGTGTAATAAAATGGGCCGATATTGCTGAAGAGTTACAAAGAAAATATTTTTTTTTTCTTTCTCTGTAAGCTCATGAAACTTACTGGGAGATAGTGGCAAATGTTTGGTTTAAACACGTATAATGACTTATTTTGATGTGGGGGGGGGGGGGGGATTAGAACACATTTAGATCAATAACTATTACTTAAAATTAATTACTACATAATTTTCCGCATAATGCCTGCCTTTGCTTGAATATGAATAATCATTCATTACACTGCACGTGCTTTCTTTGACTGAAAAAGTGTGATTCACCTATCATTTTCCTTGGACAAATAACCTTTAAGACAGTACAACCCAGTGTAAATTTCTGCTTCAGAGGGGCACACAAACTGAGCCTATAAATGCCCCTGACAATCGGCTCAATACCTCAGCCAATCAGAGTGACACGTGGAGAGCTGATCTGTCTTTGAGAGAAGTGTAAGGCCATGTTGTCACTGTTGGTTTTGTGAATCGACAGAAGCCTAATCCCTGGTGATTTCCTAGAGACGACAGGTCTGAGGAGGACCGCTTGTGTGTGCGTGTCTGTGCGTATATGTGCACGGCTATGAGAGGACCCTCTGAGTGTAATCATACGAGTTCACATGCGAGTGTGTTCATTTTCCTCTTGGGCAGATTAAGCAAACACTAAATCCCAGGAGAGCAACAGGTGAGACTCACACACACGTACATACACACATACAGGAGCTTCATTGATTGTATTTGCCTGTCCGACAGTATAGGCTGAAAGAGAGTGCACTTGAGGTAGAAGTGACAGAAAAACAATACATGACGCCCTTTTGCATAGAGAAATTGTACATCTGTTTGAAAATTTGCAGTGCTGCTTAAGCTGATAAAATAAAAACTATGACGTGTAACCTATTATATTCTTTCACGGTTAAGTACAGGAATGCTAGAAACAATTTGTTAAGACATAAAAAAGTGCCAAAAAGTAATTCTCCTGTTAATTAAACAATCACATTCTTTCATTTACATCTGTATCTGTCTTCACCTTTACTTGTAAAAGTATGCAGATTCTCATATTTTTGCAACCGCCAGCTTAATTAATCACTTCACAACGTAATTAGATTATAACAGCTTCTTACAATAACTCCTGAAAAACTGATATAAAAAATGTTGCTCACACAGACTCAACTCATTCCAAATGCTACATTTAAATACATATATAAAAAAATAAATAAATGAATCACTTCTTTGTCTTGATAAACACTTTAATCCATTATGGTAGCATGCCACTGTACATTTCTAACACTTGACCCTCAAAATAAATGTTCTCTCTAAATTTATTTAAATATCATATAGATATTATATCATAAAATATCTCTAAAATATCATGTAGGCTATATATATATATATATATATATATATATATATATATATATATATATATATATAAACTCACAAGTTTGTATGTATATAAACTTGTTTAAAGCTAAAAATCTTACCTTTAAGCTTACTGAGAAAAACAAATTATTAGCTCATAAAACTGAAAACTATGGACTTTTGGCTATAAAATATGGTCTCTTAGCTATAGTTTAGGTAGTAGAATATTTAGTGTCTAGTAACTGTTACAAGCCTACTATTGCTATTAACGATGCTGTGATTTTTTTTTCTTCTTTAGTCTTATTTATATATGAATTTACTAGCACAAAGTTGGTCTAATTCAATTTTAGGCTGTAACACTTGATCTACCTGCATATAAAAACAGTGAATATTGTCAATGACACGAATGAAAGTTGATCATATTTGAGCGCCTGTTAATTCAACACTGCATTTATCGGCTGATGACCCTCGGACCTCCAAACATCACCGGCCAGCTCTTTTACTATATTCACAACAGCAGTAACGTTAACTGTAAATTCACATGACCGCTGTTAAGAGAGTCGGCTGATTCTGAGAGCTGATAAAACACTTTAAAAGACCCAAACAAACCACGAGCCAGCTCTTCTCTTAAAAAAAAATACAATAAAAATCTCTATACATAAAGAAACACAAGTAGTGATTCTCCTGTCAGTAGTCACAGAAATAACGTGAGCTGTCATGCCAACTTTCTCGCGAAATAACGGAGATAAAAACTCATCGAATTATTGTTTATCAACAATGTCACATAATGTATCAACGAACAAATACACACCGGTGTCCAGAATCAGTGTGACTTACTTCATGGTGCGTCTGAAGTGTGTCCGGTGAAGTTTGTCCTGCGGTGTGACTGAAGGTGTTGAGCCGCCGGGTGGACTTCACCGCTTCACACTTAAAATCCACCAAAAATCACCACCTCCAGAAAAAAAAGTGTCGTTTTCTTAATGCGTGTTATTTTTCTCGTGTCTAATAAAGCGTTTCAGATGCTGAGGTTGGTGTCGGTCGTCCACGGTGAGGAATGATTAAGCCGTTATTGCGACTGATGTTGTTGAGCTCTCTCTCTCTCTCTCTCTCTCTCTCTCTCTCTCTCTCTCTCTCTCTCTCTCGGCGCACGGGTTTACTCTTGAAAGGGGGACGGGCTTACATCATTGCAGTGTTTTAATGAAAGAAGCGCAACACTAATGCGTTTATATCTTCTACAGATAAAGTCAAATCACACTGTATATAGTGTCAACGTGTGCACATTACCAGTGGTACTTTTAGTTTTGCGACTTTTAATGATTTTTAAAATAATTGTAATTGATTTAAACTGAACATTTTACTATAGGCCTATGTTATGTTATTTGTTGTTGTTGTACTATATACTGTAGACTATATACTTAGTAATACGCCTATAATTACACTGAAACAAGAACCTGCAACAAGGAGTTAGATCCAAACCTAGTTCAAGCATGATGCAATAAATACTGTAAAATATTTCAACAACCCATTAAAATGTAAAACTGAAGTTTATTTGCTGTCTTATTTTTTGAAGTATATTCAAAGGGAACACCTGCAGTGATATGTTTATTATATGCTTTCAATAACTTTGAATTTAATTAGCAATAAATAAAATCAAGCTGGAACATTGTAAAGGTAGTTAAATAAATGGAAACAAAGATATTTTTTATATGAAAACATAAAAAAAAATGTTTCCCCTACATAAAACATAATTTCTCCTAGCACTTTGATTCATAACCTTGCATAGATTAGTGCCCTCTCATAGCCCAATCTTCTCACTGTATATTTAAATGAGTTTCTTTATCACTGGAGATAAGTAGCCTACTTTAACACATGCTAAACATGAATAAATCACGCATCTAACTGAGGAATCAAGAGATGATAATTAGTGAAACATTGGTTGCTATTACCAAAGCTCTCCATGCCAAAGACCACCTCGTGAATGTTAAGACATAATCATTGAATTCACATTTAAGGGTTGATAAAGGAATAGAAACTATCATATTGCTGTTTTTTTCAGTTCCCCATCTTAAAGCAGTCATCTGAATTTCTTCATGCTGATATTTCGTTGTTCTATGAAGCTATTGCCTTAGAATTAACCTTACGCACCACTTGAGTCACTGACAGACAAACCAGTGGTAGAAGTAAAACATGAAATCAGTTAATGAATTAATTAAACCTGCTAATCTGCCTGACAGACTGTAACTGGACCCAGTGGTATCAGCTTCCGTGAGATCCCACTTCTGGGTCACAAGACACTGTAATCTTGAATTGCATTTTTTTTTTGTTGGTAATTTCAATACCTACATCAATACTGCTTCGGTTCCACCAGCTATATGAAACTACATGCTAATAGGCTTGCTGCGGTAGCTACCGGTGTTACCGGTATTACCCGGTGTTCTTCAGCCCCACACCGAATGCATTACTTGCCCACCGTGGCACCGCCCCCCACTGTCGTTTTGCTTTTTTTATAGAAATAAAAACTATTTAGTTCAGTTGGACAACGGACGCTACAACTGTAAACTCAAAGCGTCTTCTCCGCTCCATAAAGCTCACACTGCAGAGCCGCAGCAGGATTCAGATTTTACTGATCACGTGAAGAGAGTGAGGTGAGAGAGACACTTTCAGTGGGTTGTGGCTAGAAGGGATACAACTACGGCCGGAAGTTAACAATAAATTAAATGTTCTACCTATTAGATTGTGTTTTATTAACGTCTACTACACCTATCCCAACTCTAAACCTATCCCTTACAATAATGAAAATACTGTAATTATTGTTATCAGCGTGACAAAAATATGCCACGTCCGCAAAATTGACATGAATACTGAGGAAACGATGGTGGACAGAGGACTTGTTTTTCAAGCAAAATGTAAAAGTAAACTAATAGACCGCTTCTTAAACCAGAGAATGTGAACATGTTGGTTTTCTTGGCAAACAACATGCAAGCACTGTCACCAACAGCCAGTTTATTTCTAATTTTCTTTTTTCTTTTTCATTTTTAAAAGCCTGTTGTTGTTTACTTGATGTTTTTTTTCTTCATTTAATTCCACAGTGTTTGCTAAACTGTGTTTGCTAAACAGTGTTTGCAAAATGTTCTAATTTATTAGTAAATATATAGGTAATACAGCATGTGGTGTATGCCATGCCTCGTCTTATTTATTATTGTTAATAAACGTTATATAAGCTAGTTTCTCATTGTAGTGTTTTATTGTTATTGTGCTTTTCATTAAGAGTAATAATTAATCCATCTTTCAAGCATTCGTTTTAGTCTTAGAAATTGAAAGGTGTAAAATGTAAGCATAACAGACAATTTTCTTCTTGTAAAATGTGACAAGTTTTATTAGATTCTTCTTCTTCTAGAGAATCTAGATCAGATTCTCTGATTCACCATATATTTAGACGGACAGTTCCTTACATTTGGCCAGTCAGCTATATGAGTCAATGGAAATGCTTTTAGTCTCAGGATCAGTAGGCCACAATATCAATTGTATTAACTTGTATGTCTATAAAGCATGTATATTATGCTATACCTACTGTGTTCACAATTCCTTTAGTTCTTCCAGCTCCAGCACACAGTTTTACCAGGAAGACCCTCTTAGGTTTCAGAGTGCAGTTTTGTTTGTGTATTTGGCACCTGGTGAAGAGACAGAGAGAGAGAGAGAAATTCTTTCTGTGTTAATAGCTATATCTAGGTACAGTGTTCAAGATACACTGCATGGCTGGGGGAACTACAAAAGGAATAAATAAATATATAAACAATGCTACTGAGTTTCCTCTTGCATATTCATGTGGTAGGTAAACTGGATAAAGAACAGGAAGAGGAACAGAAACAACAGTAACTACAGCAACTATACCAACTATATCATTGATGGTGATCTGGCTGACTTCGATCTGCAGAAGCATCTGCAGTTTTAATCCATTTGCCCTAGTGAATATCTATTTTTGCATTTCTTTAATTTATTTTATATATTTCAAAATGTATATATATATATATATATATATATATATATATATATATATATATATATATATACACACATTTTATATATATAACCATGTATGAGTCTCTGTCCTTTTAAGACTGGTACGATTTTGAACCCTTTATTTTATTTATTTATTTATTTTTCCTCCTTGAAACCCCCTCAAATGTTTAAAGAATGTTTGTTTTGTTTATTGTATGTAGAGATATATATATATATATACATACACACATTTTATATATTTATAACATTTTATATATTACATTTTTTTTATATATTTATTTTACACATTTTACATATATTTGGTTTGATTTCGGATTGGCAAATTTCACTACATTAGTTCAGTCTACTAAACATTGTGCAGTAGAGCTGACTAATGAATTTGTTTACGGTAAAGGCACTTTACTGTAATATTTCAAAAGAGGGTTTCTGTCAACGGAAGCATTAAACACAGTAAAGATTAGTTAGTTTTCCTGACCTAATTTACAAACAGACAGACACATACTGTATACATGTGTATACACAAATGAATTATTCTCCCTCTTGTTTTCTTTGGCTGTCGATCGCTACAAGACTGTCGGTCCAAACTGAACCTGCTTGCCATCACTCAGGATCAACAATCCGATTTCCAGTAAGTTCAAAGCCACAAGGAAAGTGTCCAGTAGTGGTTATGTCATTTCGTATACACATACAAGAGGCTTTTCAGAGAAAGGTAATTTTGAGGTTTCGGCCTCATCTGTTCATGTTGTAATGAGCAGATGTAAGGAGATGGAAGATAAATACACAATGTTAGTGGCTGTCAACAATCCCGCCTACGTTGTTTTCTTTTCGGGAGCCCGGTAGTTACCCACGTGTGTCTTATTACCTTCAGTCAGACATTAGTAGCGTTCGGGAGGATAGAGGGACAAGGCCTCTATTTCGTTTTATTTTAAGAGCATGATAAACATCAACACATTTTATTTGGCAAACAGGAACAAGCAAGGATGTTAGTGCATGAGTGTGTGCGTAAGTATACGTGTGTAATCTGTTGCTGATCACACTCATGTGAAAACACAATCTGGCTGTCAGAGCTGATAACATTGTCAAGTGCTCAAACACCAGCGCTGAGCTTTCACAGTGCATGAGAACACCGGGATGAGCCTGTCTCCCAAGTCTGGCCAGATCATAGATTCTTCTTTTCCTCTCTTCATTTTGTCAGTTTATCTCACTCCTCCTCTCTGCTTCTCTCTCTCTCTCTCTGCCACCTTTAATTTCACCCGTTTCCTCTCTTTCCTTCTTTCCTCTCCTAAACTTTTTAGATCCAGACAGATAGACAGACCGACAGGCAGGTAGAGGAAAAACACACTTACTAACTGGGGTATTTATGCAGCACAAAGTTACATAAGATTCTCAAAGTGGGTGTAAAAATGGCTTTAGGAGGCTATGAAATGGCTTTTTTTTATGTCTCAATGTATTGTTCAGTTCCTTTATGGTCTGTTTTTACATTTTGGAATCCCTTATATTTTAAAATTGTACATTTAAATAAACTAATAATAATAATAATATATAGATATAATAAAAAAAAAAATAATTATTATTATTATTATTATTATTTACCTATTTATTAATATAAAACTTTGCCCCTCCTTTTTTTCCTTATTCATATGTTTTTGTGTCCTATAGTCAAAAGGCATATATTATTTTATTACTTTTATATAATATATTATATACTTTTTTGAGAAATTGTTAACATTCAATCAATCAATCAATCAATCAATCAACCAATCAATCAAACAATCAGGAGTTTTGTATACCAGTCAAATAATCTTATAAAGTGAAAATTAAAGCTGGATGTTTTTCAAGATATTAAAAAGGCACTGGGGTATTTGAGACCCCAAAAGAGACATGATGGTTGAATTAAAACTAACATGACATGGAACATCTGAAAGCATAATAATTTTAAGCTACAGTATAATCCTACAGTAGCTGCACACAAATGTATAAGACGTGTCTCTGCATGCTCACCTTTAATCATACAGTGTCATTCATTCATTTCATAAAGATCCTGCAGGCTAACTGAATTTGTGCCACCCTTTTGATTATTTTTGGCC